AGGGAGATGAGTCCACACTCTGGCCCATGACTTGTGTTTTCTTCAGGCTGATTGTTAGTTCAAGCTCTTGGCAGGCCTTGCTAAAATGATTCATGAGCTGTTGGAGGTCTTCAGCAGAGTGGGCAACAATGGCTGCATCATCGGTGAAGAGGAAGTCCTGCATGCATTTCAGTTGGACTTTGGTCTTTCCTCTCAGTCTAGAGAGATTAAAGAGCTTTCTGTCTGATCTAGTCCAGAGATAGATACCTTCTGTTGCAGTTCCAAAGGCATGCTTCAGCATGACAGCAAAAAAGATCCCAAACAGGGTCGGCGTGAGGACAGAGCCCTGTTGCACTCCACTTCAAATGTCAAAGGGATCCGATGTTGAGCCATCAAAAACTACAGTGCCCTTCATTCCCTCATGAAAGGACCTGATAATGTTGAGGAGTCGAGGTGGACATCCAATCTTGGAAAGTATTTTAAAAAGGCCATCCCTGCTAACCAAATCAAAGGCCTTTGTGAGATCTATGAAGGTCACAAAGAGTGGCTGTTGTTGTTCCCTACATTTTTCCTGAAACTGTCTGAGGGAGAATACCATGTCAGTGGTGGATCTATTAGCTTGGAATCCTCACTGGGATTCTTCAGTACAAACGAATTAAAATGTTAAATAATTAGGCTGTTTTTGACCAGAAGTGGGCTACTCCAATAGCATTATCTTGGACATTTGCTAGATCTTCTTTTGTACACATGGTGGAGCACAGATTGCATGTGCATAAGTTTGCATGTACATTCGTTTACATGCACATAAGACTGAATTTCTCCACAGTTACAGAAAAATTGCCCTGTATCTAAGCAGCCTCATTTTACTTTATTATTGTGCTATATTGTGAGCTCCAAGCACGGTGAGTATGTAGTTTCCCAAATGAGACTATTCTTAAGTAGAACATCTCTTGCCACATCAAAAACATATGTGGGTACATGTAGAATTCTCTTAACTACTGAGGAATTTATATGAAAAATGTGATGAGAATAAATTTTAAGACACTTAGAATGCCAAGGGACTGGCAGCCACTTTCCCGAAGCAATAGGGATGCACTGCAGGTGACTAGTGATGCAGTATAAAGCTGCTGTAGGTTCTTTTGATACTATTGTTGTTATTAAGGGATTTTCACCAGGAAATGTCATGTTTCAAATTTTATGATTCAAGATAGAAACTCATTAATTATTAAAAATACTACCCTGTTTCCCAGAAAATAAGACCTAACCTGAATATAAGCCCTAGTATGGTTTTTCAGGATGCTTGTAATATAAGCCCTGCCCCAAAAATAAGCCCTAGTTAAGTGAAACCCCACTCTCCACCATTGTGCAGCATTGTGCAGCAACCAGAAGATGACATGACTGTAAAATAAAACATCCCCTGAAAATAAGCCTTAATGCATTTTTGGAGCAAGAATTAATATCAGACCCTATCTTATTTTCAGGGAAATACAGTAATAATTCAGGGACATTTCACTAAATTATGGGGCTTCTTAAATCTGAGTGGCTGTTTCTGTACAGGTTACAAGGTTTCCTAGAAAACAGACATTTAGATACAGGAGATGAAGAAAATTAGATTCAGGAAGTTTTAACTGACTTGCTTCTGCATATCTGTTCTTTCTCAAGTTTAAAAATGTGGATCAAAAAACAAAAAGAACAATCACAAGGCAGTTATCACATACTATATTTTCTCTGTTTACCAAAGCGTTCAGTTTATCTCAAAAGCTAATGTGCTGCTCTATCCGCAATTGATGGTCCAACAAAAATATAATACTGCAGAAGTAATGCCACAGTGTTGTAGTATGTAAAGAGAAAATCTTGAACTTTAAAAAAAAGATGACTCCTGACTTGCTTTTGATGTCTGGTGGCTAGTGAGTGTTAACTATACTCCATATATTGTGTCCAGGAACAAAGAAGAAAAGAAACTTGTTGAAAGTGGAATGTATGTAGTATAAACTGGAATTTGCAGGGTCTTTATCTGATTGGAAGTCCTGATGGGAAACAGCGCAACTATTTGTGCTAGCTTGCTCCCATGAACTTACCTTATATATTTATAAATAACCCCAATATTACAAAAATACCATACGTTTTCAGTTCTCTCTGGTCACTGTTTCTGTTACATGGAAAGGTGGGAAGTGTGAAAGAATGTTAAAACAGAAATGTGATCATGAGGTGCTGGAGGATAGCCACTTTTGGCATACACAGAGCTCTTAATCAAAGTCAAAACACAGCTAATTGTGCCAACAAATAACATATGGTGCAATGGTGGTTAGAAACAAAGCTATTTGTGGTGACTACTTATAGAATAATCACAAAAACATTTGCAGATTTGCCATCTTAAAAAGGCCACCTTGTTCCCATATACATTTCATGGTCATGTTTATCCCTATCTGTAAACCTGTCTTGCTAGCAAATGGCTTCTCCAATGACAGAAAACACTCCTCACACCCAAATACATCAAATTCATTCCTCTGGAAGGCTTTAATTTTAGATACTCTTTTTACATACATCTCTTAAATGCTGCATGCAAGCGAATTCATTTTTAAAAAATTCTCAGTTTTCTCTCTATTGAAGAAACTATTGTTGCTAAGTTTCTGTTCCTTACAGAGATTTTTAAGATAAAGAAAGGAGATTGTATGTTCTGTTCCTAAATAAAGAACTCCATTTACACTAGAGATATTTATTGGACAACTGAACTAGTCTGAAATCTGTACATCACACCCCTCTCCCCCTTGCCCTACACCAAGTTAAACCATTAGTTCTTCTAACTTCAACATTGCACATACTAACTGGCAGCAGCTGTCTAATGGCTGTTGTGGTTTTTTTCGGGCTCTTTGGCCATGTTCTGAAGGTTGTTCTTCCTAACGTTTCGCCAGTCTCTGTGGCCGGCATCTTCAGAGGACAGTACTCTGTGCTGCGGTGTAGTTTGCTTGGCAGTGGAGTATTTATGGCTGTGAGATAGGCTTTTGTCCTATTCTGGAGATGGGTGATTAGTGTGTCTTGTTGTGGGTGTACTGTTGTGATAAGGAGCAGAGATTATCTGTCACTGTGATTGATGGGTGTAATTAGCTGGTCTTTTAGACCATTAGCAGCTGTCTAACTTTCCCAGGACTACCTGAAGTTACTGCATGACCATCAGTGTGAAGAGCATGGGTTCCATCACCATGTTATATCCTCCTATCTGCTTAAGCAGTTAAGATAACTAGACTATGTTTTGCTTGATTAAAAAGAGAGAGAGAGAGAGAGGTCCCAAGACTCCCAACTAACCAGGCAGAAGCTTTATAGAAAACAAATTCCTTTTAAAAAATGCAAGTACTGTACTTACAAAACTTACAAAAGCAATTTCTTATAAGAGGCATGTCCCCTTTCTCTTTACACAGGGAGTAAGGCTGCTTCTACAGTGGAGGCCCTTTTCTAAACCCCAATCTCTTCTAGAGCTGGTTTGGTGAGGAAACTGGAGAGCACCTTCTAAAATCGTCATGGATGCTCCCAGGCTTTGGAATGCACTGTCCTGAGAAGCCATGTTGGTGCTCCCCTTCTTGTCTTCCATTGTCAGGCAAAACCTACCTTTTCAAGTAGGCTTTCTAGCAATAGTCAGAGTTTTAGAAATGTTCCATCTATTTTTCTAACAATAGTTTTAAAAGTATTTAAACAGAGTTTAAAATGTTTTTACATGTTTGTTTTTTAAATGTGGTCTTTACAGTGTTTTAAAATAGCAATTACTTTTCAATTTTAGTTGACTGTAAACCTCCTGTGAGGACAAAGGCAGCATATAAATAAAATGAAATAAATACAGTGACATCTCTTGAAGTATTTGCATTCCCCCCCTTTGGAACAGTTGTTGACTGATTGATTAACACTGATATAATGATTAAAGTTGATACTGATGTAATTATTTAATTAAGGTATTTTCCAACAAGCAATAGCTCTGTATTTCTCCCAGGCACTCACTAAGACCATAAGTTAAAATCAGGCATGGGCAAAACTGAAATCTGTTTCTGTTTCCTTATAACCACCTCCAAATCCATTACCTATTGTTGCCATGTTGATTTTTTGTTGTTGTTAAAAAAAACACACCGCAGGATATAGTTTTGTGTGCATTAATTGGTACACTAATGGATGTATATCTCCCCACACTAAAGCGGGTTGGCGTGCATTTTGGAAACGCATGCCAAATTCTTTCCCTTTTCCACACATGCGCATATTATCAAATGCATTATTTTTCTTTCATAGAATGCATTGTAAACCCTATGATGCATGCACTCACAACCACTAAATGTATTAAGGTCTATGCTTGGTCTAAGAAGTGTCGATCAGCTATATCTGTTTTGTTTTGTTTTTAAGCCTTAGTGGAGCAAACCTTTTGCACAACAATGGTTAAAACAGCATTGAAAAGCTGTAAATCTTATGTACTTCTTTGTGTAACTGCCCATTAAACACTATGACCCCATTTTGAGCCTGAATTTAAAACAAGCAGGCTCATTCCTTTGGCCCTCAGATGTGGAGCCACAGCCTTTAGGGATGTGATCAATTGACCCAACCACTTGGCCCCTGTACCTCAACACAAGCCTTAATAACTGTTAAATAATGCATTTGTCGACAGATGTTGAGAACTAAGGCTGTCGGAAACTGCAAAGACGGCTTTGTATGTTTGTTGTGCTCTGTTGCAAGGAAAGAGCAGGCTGCTTTATTGCCCACTCCCTTCTAGCTGGAATGTGCTGAGAAACCAACAGTCCATCTTCAAGCTTGTCCATAGCTAATTTCCACAGGGAACAAGTGAACTGGAAAACTCACGTAGCTGCAGCTGGGACTGAAAAGATGCCTCCTCCTTTTTCTCTCTCCCTCTTGCTTTTTTGCCTCTTTTACCCACTTCTCCCTTACCAGCCCTGTGGGCAAAAGAAAATGAAATGAAGTGCATGGGAGAGTAAAGGAGCTACCTCTGTAGTCAGTAAACTAAATCTCAGATGCTGAGGGAGGAGGGAGTAATGAGTGAAACATGTGAAGGAGCCATTACAGGGAGCTCACTTCTTATAAAGGTATCCATAATCTCAGCCTTAGCACGCAAGCTTCTGTCGTTACTGAGGAAAGGCTGTACCATGATGAACACAGCATGTTCGGAGATACCTCAAGTTCCATAAAGATCCGGTGGAAAAGCACAAAAGCTCTGGAAAACAAGAGTGGCTATGACAAGGATGTTTCTGTGGAAGTAGGGAAATTTCCAATTTTAGCTTTACAGTATTTGTTTATTTAAAATATTTTTGCCCTGCCTTTTTCCTTAGGAAGGACCCAAAGCTGCTTACATAATTCAAAGACAACATTAAAATCTAAAACAGTCAGGATATAAATACTCAAAAGGGTCAAACGGATACCACTTCTAAAAGACGGTAAACAAAAGCAATACCAAATATACATTCAAAGCTGTTAGGCACAACCATTCATTAAAAAAAAACCCACACATGCAATCAGTCATTAAGGGAAAGCTTACCTGAAGAGAAAGGTCTTCACCTGCCTGCAGAAGGATAGCAAAGAATGTAAGGTTTTCTATGACCTGCAATCTCTGTGCTGGCTAGATCTCAGAGTTTTGCATTACAAATGAGAATCACAGAACATACATGCATATACATATACAAACATGCGTGACGATGTTGTGCATAAAAACAGTGCTCTTGCCAGCTTTGGTGTGGAACTAACATGCTTGGGCAAGGGTTCAAAATGCAATAGCATACTCAGTATATATGTATGGTCAGACAACCATATCTCTACAACCCACAAAATGTCCCACATTTTAATAACTGATCGGCGGCTCCCAAATGGCCGCTGGATGACCCGAAATGGCCCCCTATCAGTGTTTTCGCGTCCTCCCCTTGCTTACGGAGGTCGCGAAAACACTGCGGGGGGCATTTCGGGCCATCCGCCGGACGCCCCAATCGTCGCAAAGCGAGTGCGGCGATTGGGGCAGATCCGTATAGCGATCCCCAAAAAGGGATCGCTATACGGATTCTTCGTTAAACGGTGCACTCGTTAAGCGAGGCACCACTGTAATATAATATAAATTTGTATTGCTTTGTCCTACCCTTCAGGACAAGCATCTTCAGAGAAGCTCAAAAACTCCAAAATTAAAATAATGAGAATGAAATTAAAGAATAAGGAAGAAAAGCAGCAGGAGTAGAAGTTTTTGTTAGGCTTAACAAGTGTAATGGGGGAAAAACATTTTAAAAAAGAAAAGAAAAAGAAGATAGGAGGGTCTGGGTGGAAGACAGGAGGGCCTGGCATGATCTGGTCCATGGGGTCACAAAGAGTCAGACACGACTAAACGACTAAACAACAGCAGCAACAACACTATCAGGATTAGAGAGCTGGCACCCTGTGGAAGGTATTGCAGTAAGAGATGCCACAGCTTCTCACCCAAAGCCCCTTCCCTGCTTGCCACCTACCTGAATCCAGAAGGTGGATGGACCCAATAAAAGCCTCAGTAAGTGATCTTATTCTATGGACAGATAATCCTTCAGATATGGAAAGTTTAAGCCATTTGGAGCTGTAAAAGATAAGCAACAAAACTTCAAATTGTGTTCTGAATCCTACTAACAGCCAGAGAAGCTACTGGAAATCAGCAAGCACTGCTCCCAATAGATGGCCCCAGTTAGTGGTTCAACTGCAGCTTTTTGGACATATTAAACTTTCTGGGCAGTTTTCAGAGGCACTAACATAAGTTTCAGTTGTCTAGTCCATAGAGATTAGCAAAGGATGGGTAACTGTCTAGTAGTGACCATAGCAAGACACTAAACTGCTGAAAAGTGCTTTATGGCACAGACATCACTTGGGCATCCTGTGAAAAGCTTGGTTCGTTCAGTGAAGATCCCACATTTTGGACAGGATCCTTTATAAGTGTAGATATGCTGACCACCATTTCTCACGCAGGCATTTCACCAGCCAGTAGTACCTTTACTTGTCAGGCCTGAGCTTCAGGTTATTGGCTACCATTCTATCCAAACGGATTGCAGGTTATGCTGGCATAAGAAAGCAAAGCAAACCAAAAGAGCAAAATACTGTATTGTAGCACTTTAAAGACTAACAGTTTTATTTCAGTGTAAGCTTTCATGGATCAAAATTCACTTTCTCAGACACAGAGGGCACAAATGCTATGTCCTCAATATTTCTACATATCTCCATGATGAAGTAAGGATACAGGTAACAGATAAAGTGGCAATGGCTTGTCAATGCAGGAATGAGACCCCAGGCAGAAACATTTATCACTGGCTCCAGATTTTTGAAACATTGCTTAGCATTTATAAATTCTGAGTGTCTCTCATTCCAAAGACAGAATCAAGGTGACTTCTCATGCTTTATGTTGGACCAGTGAGGGTCCCCTCAATCAGAAGAGTGGGCACTCCAGCTCATGAAGAGCAAGGGTGGGATTCCCTACTCACAGTTCACCTCTGGACTGCGGCATTGGTGAGGGCGACGTGGACAACGGTTTTGAGGCCACAGGTGTAGCCATGGTGGGACTTGGATTTAAGGAGGAAAGTAAAGCAGAAGAGGAGGGCTGTTGGGTGGACACCATGGACTGGGAGGTCCATGAGGACTGGGAAGTGCTGCTGCTAGAATGGTAAATGGCTGGATGGTACGTCACTATGATCTTGAGACTGGTTGCTGGGTCAAGTTGTTTGTACCATCAGACGAAGCCTCCTAGGTCTGTTGGGGACAGGCCAAGAGCCAAGAGGCATGAAGGGTCAAGAACCAGCATTGAACCTGTTGCCAGGAGAAGCAGAAGCAAGGGCAAGCAGCTCCATCAGAGCAATCCCATGGCCAGTCTGCCTCATGACCTCCTGAAGGTCAGCCTCCAGCAACTCCCTGCCTATGGACTATGGAGGGGTAGCAGGGGAAGAAGCCTTCACCACTTGCCTTCAGGGACAATTGACAGTGTGCATCTAGCACCCTTGTTGTGGCACCTTGTACCTGGCTCACACGTGAGGAGTCCTAGAACTGGTAGAAGAGGTGGGGCTCCACTCCTCCAAGTAAAAGACTTTTGAGGGGGACTGCCTCAAAGACTGTGGGAGTGGAGCTAACTCCCTGGCATCCTGGTTTCCTAGTCCTGTTGGCCCTTTAAAAGTTCTGTTGCTCCAATAAAAAGCCTGTTCCAGCAACTACACTCTGTGTCGTCATGGATGGGGGGTGTGGGGGCCACCCACACTTTGGTACTTCTCTTTAGAGGAGGTCTGTGTTTCACAACAGATGACTAGGCTAGAAGGCTTTTAGATTCTTCTTGCCCAAAGTCTACAAATATGAGTTTGAGTTTGTTTTCTTTCCAAACCAATTGTAATTTGAACTACTGTTATTCTCTGTTCTTACTGTTTTGTTGGCACTTCCCTGATGTTTCTCTCAGGGCTATTATCAAAAGCTTTCTCTTCCTTTTGGTGGATTTTGATGGACAGGCCCCAGGGAGTGGGTCAGAATGTGCCATGAATATATTGGCTTCCCACCGCTGGCCTGGCATGCTAGCGTTAAAGAGACAGCATTATCTTTCATCATTGGGCAGCCAAGTCCCTTTTTCCCCCTCCCCACTAAGCACTGCGTGGGCAAAAGGATGGTTAATGCATAATGTATAGAGAGAGCTTGAAATGGGGACAGAGAAGCAGCAGGGGAGGGGGGGGAGAAAGAATATAGGGATATTTAGTACCTAGAAAAGATAAGGATGAACCAGCCCAGAAAGCTTTCTTCCTGATCCCAAAAATGTGTGGTTTGTCTCTAATTTGGTGAGCAATTAATTGACAACTTGGCCCAGTATGGCCCTAGATACTTGCTGGATGACAACTCACATCAGCCCTACTTAGCAGAGCTAAGTTCCATGCCACATTTCTGGAGCAGCACAACACCTGGTTAGTGAGAAGATTATTGTGATGGTGATGATAATGATGATTTCCCTAACAAAAATGTTTAAATCATAGGCTTCATCATCAACCCAGCTTTAGTGAGAGGGGAAATAGTTTACTGTTGATGCTCGGATTTTTTTTTTTTTTTGCTTGCCCAGAGTAGAGGATAACTTGGAGGGGGGGGAGCTTGCTTTCTACCCTTCTTCACAATAGAAGCTAATGCTTCATCTTCTGCCCTCACAGCATTCAATAGTCTAAACATAAATAAAAGCCGTAAACCTTGCAAGCACAGCACTTAAGCATTCCCACATTTTTTTAAAAAATGGCTGCAACAGAAAAAGTTCTTGTATATCCCCCTCCTTGATTTCAAGTCTAGTAATGATAAGTTAGCAAAAGCCAGTCTGACTGGAGAGGACTTGCTCCCTGCTTAGAAAGTTGGCAGTCTGTGATATCCAGCCACACACTGCATCAGGCTGAGAGAACTGGGTACATTTAGCCTAGAGATTATTGTGAAGGGAAGTATAGTGACAGCACATTCAAACTGTTTAAAAGGGTACTGAAAAAAGAGGGAGGAAATAATTTCCCTCCACTCTCCGCTGGGAATAGGACAAAGAGCATAGAGCTTAAAAATCAGAGGAAGCTAGGTCCATGTTAACACTTCAGGAAATAAACTTGTCCAACCTGAAAAGCAGCTCAACGATGCAAAAAACTGCTTAATGAATTTCCTTCTTTTACAATTTGCAGGAAAAGGCAGATCAGTACACATCAGAATGTTTTAAAGTGGAAATGTCCTCTTTTAATGACAAAAGCAACAAATACTTGAATTCTAGATAGTGTGGTGCATCACATTCCTCAGTAAAATTCAAGCATGTGAGGAAGCATATTTTTTCATTTTTTTCAGTCTTTCAAATATAAAGGAGGAACAATTTGGAACTATCAGCACAATAGAAGGAACAAGAGAAATTCTGGACTTCTAGCTTCATATCCCTTGCCCTTTATGGAAATCACGATTCCCCCTTCTTTCGCCTCCAGCCTGCAAAATGGAGAATAATTATCCCTCTCACAAGGGAGCCGGGCAGCCTCATTAATGGTTTGCAAAGTGCTTTGCCAATTGTCAGACTAGTAAGGGCAGAATGCTGGTAATTATTTTTAGCCACTAAAGACCGGCTCAGTTTCTAGAGGTACCACATGCTGGAAGGTCCCATCCCCCACCCCCACTGTAGCTAGGCACTGGGACCAGCTGAGGTCTCTTACATGTCTGAGTATTTCTTTGAGGAGATATGTTTCTTGATTTTCTGGCTCAGATCATGCATAGGCCAGATGATACGATATCTATAGTCTATAGATATGCATTCTATATCTTACTTTCATCTTCGTGAATTGATAACCATGGACAGTTGGTTTTACAGGGGAAAGGAAATATTCAAGAATAACTTGAAATAATATTTTCAGCAGAATCCTGTCAGCCTTCTTGAAAAATAACAGGGGGAACAACAGAGAGAAAGGATGGCTGCAGGGCCATCTTTCTGCCTCTGCCCCTCAATGGCATGGAATTTCATGCGACTATGAAAACACGTTGCCCAGAAATTGTCTGGCAAAAAATCCGAGTCAGCTCTTGTTTCTACTAAATGTTTAAATCATGTTGTGATAAGAATGCTACATTTTGATGGGGAAGGCCAATGTTTTAATTTCTGCTTAGACGTAAGACCTTGGGCAAATTATTCCCTCATGTCAGCTCTCTCTTTCCTCACTTCAAGCCTAAAGGTTGGTACAGGAATAAATTACATGCTGTAAGCTCTGCACACTCTGACAACACCATGGGAAAGAGTGCATATGCCCCTACTTATATAAAAATGCCACATATTTATTCACACAGCATATCCTGTCAAAACATTTTAATCCATATTGCTCCAAATTACCATTGCCTAGTAAACTATATGTTTGTTGTTTAGTCGTTAAGTCGTATCCGACTCTTCTTGACCCCATGTACCAGAACACGCCAGGCCCTCCTGTCTTCCACTGCCTCCCGGAGTTGGGTCAAATTCATGTTGGTCGCTTCAATGACACTGTCCAACCATCTCGTCCTCTGTCGTCCCCTTCTCTTCTTGCCCTCGCACTTTCCCAGCATCAGGGTCTTTTCCAGGGAGTCTTCTCTTCTCATGAGATGGCCAAAGTATTGGAGCCTCAGCTTCAAAATCTGTCCTTCCAGTGAGCACTCAGGGTTGAAAACTATATGTTGTCCCTCCCCATCTGTCCAAAAAGTTACTCCAGGAATTTCCAAAGAAGTAGCTGTGTTAGTCTGTCTCAGCATTTTGGCAAAATTAAAGAGGGGGAAATGGAAAAGGGGAAAGAAGGCAAAACACTATTTCACTCCAACAGATTTATTTCAGTGTGAGCTTTCATGGATCAAAATTCACTTCTACAGACACCTGAAGTAGTGACTTTTGTGTGAAGAAGTGGATTTGAAAAGCTCACAGTGAAATAAATGTACAATTATTTTTTCCTACCCCCCCTTCTTTCCCCTTTAATTTTATTTCAGGAAGATAAATGCAGCCATACATAGCATCCTCTGAATCACATAAGTGAATTTAATTATTAGTTATATTTATATTCCATCTCTAAAGAGTTGGAGGCAGCACACGTGGCTATTCTCACCACTTTTAAG